AAGGGCATATCTTTTACTTTATGTTTTTACTTTATGCTTGAGTCAAGGTGATCCTCACCTTTTCACTTTTTCATTTTATCCTTTGGCAAGCTCTTCATGTTTGAAAGATCATGATATATATATCCAATTGGATGTAAGTTAGCATGGGCTATTATTGTTGTCATCACCTAAAGGTGAATACGTTGGGAGGCAACACAATAAGCCCATATCTTTATCAGTGTCCGGCTGAAACTCCATAACCACAAGTATTGCGTGAGTGTTAGCAATTGTAGAAGACTACAAGATAGTTGAGTATGTGAACTTGCTGAAAATCTCTATTGCTGACTCTTTCTGATGTTATGATAAATTGCGATTGCTTCAATGACTGAGATTATAGTTTGTTAGTTCTCGATGATGTTTTTGAACCATACTTGACATTGTGAATTGATTGTTACTTGAGCATAAGAAATCATATGATAAAATCTATATATGTTGTTGTTATAAGACTGATCATGATGCCCTCATGTCCGTATTTTATTTTTATCGACACCTCTACCTCTAAGCATGTGGGCATATTTTTTTATATCGGCTTCCGCTTGAGGACAGGTGAGGTCTAAGCTTGGGGGAGTTGATACGTCCATTTTGCATCATGCTTTTATATCAATATTTATTGCATAATGGCTGTTATTACACTTTATATCTCAATACTTATGGCTATTCTCTCTTATTTTACAAGGTTTACCATGAAGAGGGGGAATGCCGGCAGCTGGAATTTTGGATGGAAAAGGAGCAAATATTGGAAACCTATTCTGCACTGCTCCAAAAATCCTGAAACTCCACGAAACCTACTTTTGGAATTAATAAGAATTATTGAGCGAAAGAAGTACACCAGGGGGCCCACACCCTGTCCAGGAGGGTGCCCCCCCCCCTACTGGGCGCGCCCCCTATCTCCTGGGCCCCCTGGTGGCCCTCCGGTGTCCATCTTCTGCTATATGAGGGCTTTTACCCTGGAAAAAATCGTGGGCAAGCTTACGGGATGAAACTCCGCCGCCACGAGGCGAAACCTTGGCGGAACCAATCTAAGGCTCTGGCGGAGCTGTTCTGCCGGGGACACTTCCCTCCGGAAGGGGGAAATCATCACCAACGTCATCACCAACGATCCTCTCATCGGGAAGGGGTCAATCTTCATCAATATCTTCACCAGCACCATCTCCTCTCCAAACCCTAGTTCATCTCTTGTATCCAATCTTGTATCAAAACCACAAATTGGTACCTGTGGGTTGCTAGTAGTGTTGATTACTCCTTGTAGTTGATGCTAATTGGTTTACTTGGTGGAAGATCATATGTTCAGATCCTTAACGCATATTATTACCCCTCTGATTACGAACATGAATATGCTTTGTGAGTAGTTACGTTTGTTCCTGAGGACATGGGTGAAGTCTTGCTATTAGTAGTCATGTGAATTTGGTATTCGTTCGATATTTTGATGAGATGTATGTTGTCTTTTCCTCTAGTGGTGTTATGTGAACGTCGACTACATGACACTTCACCATTATTTGGGCCTAGAGGAAGGCATAGGGAAGTAATAAGTAGATGATGGGTTGCTAGAGTGACAGAAGTTTAAATCATAGTTTATGCGTTGCTTCGTTAGGGGCTGATTTGGATCCATGTGTTTAATGTTGTGGTTAGGTTTACCTTTATACTTCTTTTGTAGTTGCGAACGCTTGCAATAGGTGTTAATCATAAGTGGGATACTTGTCCAAGTAAGGGCAGTACCCAAGCACCGGTCCACCCACATATCAAATTATCAAAGTACCGAACGCGAATCATATGAGCGTGATGAAAACTAGCTTGACGATAATTCCCATGTGTCCTCGGGAGCTCGTTTCTCATTATTAGAAATTGTCCAGGCTTATCCTTTGCTACATAAAGGATTGGGCCACCTTGCTGCACTTTATTTACTTTATTTACTTGTTACTCGTTACTATTTATCTTATCACAAAACTATCTATCACTTACAATTTCAGTGCTTGCAGAGAAAACCTTACTGAAAACCGCTTATCATTTTCTTCTGCTCCTCGTTGGGTTCGACACTCTTACTTATTGAAAGGACTACGATAGATCACCTACACTTGTGGGTCATCACACCCCTCCACTTCTTTCGAGATCGACGATGCCGAGTGAGCCCCCGTTATGATTTGCTTTAAATAAATTGATTGATGCATGATCAGTTTAGTTGAGATTGTGGGATGTATGTCTTAATGATTGTGTGGATTTGTCTTCGTGACTGATGATGAGTGAACATCTATTTAGACATGGTTGACGGACTGTTTGTCTTTTGATGATCCATTTATTTGCAAGCCTTTTCATGAGCTCACCTAATCAGCTGCTATGTATTATAGTTAAACCAACATGCGGCATTAGTGATAATGTGACCATGTGCGTCCATATCTTTTGTCCATCTTTCCACAGAGATGTGTTGTACCAAATGGATGGGTATAAACGGTAACTGGGCACATGTGGAGAGGGCCGTGCCTATCACCACCGCCAGCCCCGTCTTGCACTAGAATGGGTCAAAATAGACGGTGTGGTTGCAGGCCATGGACAGCTGGGTGGCCAACCGCGTCGCCTCTCGTACGATCGCCGGAAAATGAAAATTATTAATGTCTTTTTTTAGAACCGCCCACACTAGGCATTTTATTTAATCATAAGACGGTTTACATCCGATTGCAATAAGGCAACCAAAAAGTCAGGGATAACATCTAGTGACATTACACTCAAGCTACTATTAATACCCTCCTTCGCACATCTATGTGCAACCGCATTAGCATCCCTTCGAGTGTGCACAATATCAAAACCCTGAAAGTTGAGAAGAGACTTGATCTCTCTCAACACATGGCCTCCAATAGATGAAAATTCTTCATTCTTCCACTCATCCTTAAGTACCTAATAATCAGTTTCTATCAGAATGTTTGGCCATCCTTTTTCTCTTGCTAATAGGATTGCATCCCGGACTGCCAGTAATTCTGCACCTCGGGCTAGCAAAATATGTGTACAAAGAATAATGCCATCCATCTTCAAATAAACCTATCTACAATGTCTCTCATTTGTGATTCGATTGCGATGTGTGAGTAATCCTCTCAGGCTAAGGACTAGGCATAGCCTTGTCACACCGAGACACACATCTATGGGGCTTATGGTCCAGGCGTCATTCGCACTCGGGGGCCCTCCCACACGTGCACTCGGCCATGCTAGTTTAATTTGATGGCTTGTGTTCTTCTCATGTTGGTAATAGGTCAAGATATTGTAGGTAATTCATATTCATTAATTGCAAACAATAAGCAATTGCATCTGTGGCTCCTCATGATTGGTGTTAATTCTTGGTACCCTCATGATTGAAATTCCTTCTTTTCTTGGACAAGGCTACACATGGACTCAAGAACACAAATATGTTTTCTCAACCCAATTTCGACAAATTTTTCATACAATTGTAGTAAAAAAATGAATTATATGCAGTAAATGACTAGAAATGCACTAAATGGCTTAAATATAGCAAACAAACCCTGAAAGATGCCAAATTTTTACATTGGCCATGTAATGGTGCATATTTAGTGCAGATTTTTTTCAAGGACAACAGATGAAGCAGCGGCCACATCACCTTTAAACTTGACACATTCCCTCTCAAAATCATGATTGTTTTCCAGATATGGTTCGGTTTGTAGAAGTGTACGTGACAACTTTCGCGGAACTTTTTTAAATTTTTACCACAATCTGTAGGTGTCATATGAGGGCACCATGACAAATTCCATGCTTTTTGGACTTTGTTTACGCTTGCAGGGGCATGTGTTGACACCATATTTTGGCACGGCAAAAACTATAATTTAGGTGGCCTAAAATGAAGAACTGCTCAACATGAAAATTATCATTCTGGTCAAGATGAACAATTTTTTTGAGAAAGTATGCTTATATTCAAATTACGAAATAATACAAAGTCTTTAATCCGTGCAAGCACACCCTAACACACGCACAATGAAACAGAATAACAAAGATCACCCTAAAATAACCAATAAAACACAGAGATCTCTCCAGAGCTATGTGTCATCATCCCTGAACCTTGCAAGAAGACCCCTACAACACAATATCTGCAACTAGACCCAAGCAGGTCATCATCTTCAACTACAGCATAATCGCCGCCACGGTGCTCCCCCTTTTCTTCACTCCGGCAACGAAAGGACAAGGACACACATGTGCATTAAACACGCCCGCACCAGCCTTCGCCATATGTGGCTTTGGGTATCACTATATGTGCCCCTTCCAGATGGAAGAGAACTAGGATTCGGTTCATGCGCAGTGGCTGAACCAACCACCCAGGCAAAGAAGGACATCCTTCCAACAACAGCACAAAGGAGGATTAATTAACAAAAAAAACTCATATCGATGATGAGGAAGAAAAACCTTCACACAACCACCACTTATCCGAGGACCAACCCAGCCAGTACCAGTCAACCTCCAGACACCATAGCCCACGGCCTCAACGAGATTCGGGGATCCTCCACCCCGCTGGCTCCTACAAGAAGGTAAGAGCCCTGCCCAACCATGAATGGAGCCTAGGGAAACTTATTCAGATGGGACGCCACCGTGATGACCTGAACAACGACTCCCTCAATCCTAACTCTACTGAGAACACACCCGACGCACAAATCCGAGGTTCCCCCTCCCTCCCACCATCGAAGAAGCCGACAAAGGGAGATGAAACTAGTGGCGGCACCGACGGCACACAAAGGGACCCGCTAGCCTCCTGTTTGCCTAGCTAACCCTAACTGATCGAGAAAAAAGTTATACAACTTTGATTTTTGTATCCTAACTGCCTGGCTAACCACTAATTTCCATCCAAGGTCGTATGCAACCTCGGCAGTCAAAACATTGCAGCACGGTGAATACCCCATTTTGCCGAGCTTTAATATTATTTTTTGTTTTGTCAGTGTCAAAGAGTGCCGAAAAGGTCCTATGTGGCATTCTTTTTAGCATTTGATGTTAGATAATCTGCTAGCATTCGATGCTACCGAGTGGTTAGTTGACTGGCTATGGAATCTATGTATAACAGTGTCGGGCGAGAACTGCAGGCCATCCTTGAGCAAGCACACGTCTTCTTTCTGAGATGCCTTCTTATTCATGCTATTATCCCCACCGTCTCCGTCCCTGACGCAAGTCAGGATCTCCACCACCTCCTTGATGGACGGCCTTAGATCCCTCTCCAGTTGCAAGCACTGGAAGGCCACCTCCGCGACGCGATCGATCGTCCTCTTCGTTTCGGGGTCGGTATTGTAGCCGAGCTCCGGATCAACCAGCTGAACAACTTGATGGTTCTGAATCCTGTTGAGAGCCATGTTTGCCAAGTTGATCTCACTGTGGCTCCTGCTCATGTCCACAGCAGGTTTCGATGATATCAACTCCACCAACACAACACCGAAGCTGTAAACGTCACTCTTGTCGGTCAGCTTGTAGCACTGGTGGTACACCGGGTCGACGTAGCCCGGTGTGCCCTGTGGAACAGTTGACACATGGGTGACCTCAAGTGGGAACAGGCGTGATAACCCAAAGTCTGCAACTTTGACATGGAAGCTGTTGTCGAGCAATATGTTGGTTGTCTTCACATCTCGGTGTATGATCTCGACCGCATGGAGGTAGGCCAGTGCTTCAGCCGTCTCTATGGCAATGTTCAGCCTCAGAGGCCAAGTGAGGCCTCGTTCCGCCGCACGGGATCCGTGAAGATGGTCTGCGACCGTCCCATTTGCGATGAACTCGTACACCAGGAGAAGATCACGGCTCATGCGCGACGTGCAGCCATATAGGATGACAAGGTTCTGGTGGAGCAGGCGGGACAGGATGTCAACCTCATTCAGGAATTGCTCAACCCGTCTGTAATTGTTCTTGTAAAGGCGTTTCACCGCAACTACTCTCCCATCCTTGAGTTTTCCTGAATGAAAAAATGTTCAAAGTTGTAATTTTATCAAAGCATACAGTTCAAATGTTCAAAGTTGTAATTTATCTGCAGTTTGACGTGTTAAGATTCACAAACAACAGGTTCAGCAAACATGTGTTTTACCTTTGTAGACAGTTCCAAAACCACCATCACCAAGCTCCCTTGAAGCACTAAACCCATCAGTAGCTACCTCAAGTTCCTCGAAAGTGAAGATATGAGGAGAACCATCCAACTCAAGGTCTTTACTGTATGACGTCATTGAAGATCCACTTCGCATGAACTTGTTCGAAGCTACAGTTTGTTTCCTCTTCTTGCATTTGTACCAGACAAAACAGCCGAGACATGCCATGAGTACAGCACCACCTAGTCCTGCTCCAACTGTCCACAGAAACCAAGGGACCACAGGAAATAAGAACCGAACGAATAGATGGGCCGAGCAGCTTGAGAGTTGATTGACACTCACCTATTTTAAGAATGGTCACTCTTGCCATTTTACGGGCCCCTGCATAAGAAGAATGTGTAAATATTTTAAACATTATGAAGTAATAAACAAGTATAGTAGTCGATTGACAAATGAAAGGAACTTTTTGTAGTATGAATTGACATTGTCATGATAACTTTTCCAGCTTCTATGTAAAGCCGAACTCCCTTTCCTCTGACTGGTTAATGAGGAAAATACAGCAACAGCTGAATTTCAGATTTTCAATTCAAGGTGGTAATATATAGGAAGAAAATAAACTCATAGAAGCCACAATCAAGGCATTCAGATCGTAAAAGCGGTGCAAGAAATAACGGATTCATACATTTGCATTGATTCAGGAGAAATTATCAAAATGTAAGCCAAAATCTAACAGCAATGTAACTGTTATATCATAGTTTTCCTGAAAACAAACAGAGGTGATAAGATGGTTGCGTTGAAACAGCTTGGTGCCTGGTAACCTATTTGGTTCCTTTGGTCATCTTTCCAGACAAAAAAAAGACAATATACATCTTTCCAGACAAAAAAAAAGACAATATATTAACTTAAGGGCCATAAGCTTTCATAATGCTTGGTAATACCGGTAGGATCACGCCACTCTTCTGCACTGCTTAATTATGCAGTGCAACACTCAGTTACCAAGTGCATCAGCACCTCTAAGTACCCACTGAAACTAACAACAGAGTTCAATTCAACTTTGCGCCCCTAACTAATTCAACAACAAACAGTTGCAATATATTGACTTCCACATGTCTGAATTTTGAAACTCGAACCAGGGCATAGAAAAGTACAAAGCGCATCGATCGGCAATTCCTTCCGGGAGTAGTTTACTTGGAACGAAACCAAGAACACGTTACCATCGGCTCGGCATCTTTGTTGAATAGCGTTCTTGACTAATTCAACAAATGTATTTTGAGTTTTCGACTAGAAATCGATATGCTTAATAAATGCCTCAATCAGTGGACCGGCCTCACTATCTACGAAAAACAAAACAGTAATCTGGAGGAGCTCCAAGAAACCAAGCAAGCACCCAAGAGTTGAAACCACAATATCCGTGTCCAAACAGCATTCTAAGTTCCTCCTACCAACAGCGACGTAAAACGCAGAAAATCTGATCTTGACAGCGATTCTATGTCAGATGCAGCATCAAACTTGCTACCTACGTCACCACTTCTGAATTCACTCAAATCAGTCACTTCTGAATACCAGCATTAGCTTTGCTCGTCCAAATTGCTACCTACGTCGGCATTTTTGGAGTCACTGAATCGGTCATTGGCACTTGAAATTGTAAGGGGATTAGCTTGATCAAAGAACTAGTGATTGACTAGGCAAAAATAAAATCATGGTGGCGCTGTCAGTTAATTTTCGTCAACTCACCGCACTTCTCGCGGTGGGCGACGCCGGCGCAACCGCAGGAAAACCCGGTGCCGTCGCCGGCGTACCTGCACTGCCCGCCGCTTGCCTCGCACTCGGGGCAGTCGTCCGACGGCACCGTCCACTCGAGCAGGAACCCCTGCCTCATGCTCTGGACATAGTCGTCGTCGCCGTCCGGAAAACCAAGAACCGGCACGACGGAGAGACTGCAGGCCGACGGGACAACGCCCAGCTCGCGGTGGCTGCCATACTCCCCGCCAAGCCGGAAGAAGGACCCGTCGGCGCAGCGCGTGCGGTTGAACCCCGGCGGAGCCACCTGCTGCGGCTCGGTGCAGTTGTAGAGGACGAGGACCTCCCTGTTCTTCCTGTTGATGGTGTAGGGCCCCAGCCCGAGGCCCAGCGAGATGTTGAACCACCACGGCGGGCAGCCGGCGCGGGGCGGGACGAGGAGGTTGTGGTTCACGGCGACTAGGGAGTTGTTCTCGGGGAAGACCCGGGCGACCTGGTAGCGCCCGAACATGGAGCGGCTGAGGAACGCGTGCCTGCCGTTGCAGTTGAGCTGGAAGGACGGGGACCCGCATGGCGGCCGGCCGCCGCCCTCCTCCAGCCAGAACGGGTATGTGATGTTCAGGTCGCCGCATGTCTTGGGCGAGCAGGCAGCGCCGGCCGGCGCCGGCAGCCGGAGAAAGGAAGCGGAGAGCGGGAGAAGGATGAGGAGTAGCTGGAGCGGCGGCATGGATTGGATTGGGCCGGGGAAGGGAAGCGGAGCGGCTGACTGACCGGAGCGGGCGAGGACTGGTTAACGAGAGCAACGGGACTGACTGAACGGAGGGCGGGATGTGCGACTTTGAAGATGAAGGACGGTTGCCATGGCGGCTTGACCGGTCAGAGTCAACGAGCCATCTGTTCCCATTTGCATTATGGAAAATTTTGTTTTTGCCACACTAAATTTTGCCAATTTTACTTATGCCACTCTAGATTTTGACATTTCACTTTTGCCCCTCTTAGTTTTTGACAATTATCACAATTGACATTTCCGTGGCAAAATCAAAATTTTCAGAGTGGCAATTGCAATAATTGTCAAAAGCTAAGAGTGGCAAAAATGAAATAAAATTATTTTGTTTTTGCCCCAAAATGGCAGTTGTGATAATTGTCAAAAACTAAGAGTGGCAAAAGTGAAATGTCAAAATCTAAAGTGGCATAAGAAAAATTGACAAAATCTAGAGTGGCAAAAACAAAATTTTCCCTTCTGGTATATCGCCTTGATCTGTGGGATGCCGTTCCAGAGCGGCAATTCGTGCCATGGCTGGGGACGGCGACGGCGACTGCTTGCCAACCCGCCATTAATTTCGCATGCCCCGGCAGATAAGGAACTGGAGCTGAGGCCAGATTGATTCCTAGGAACTCGTTAAAAAATTGAACAATTCAACGACTGAACTCACCGTTGCCGGCACTCGGCGGCTGCCATGTCAGGAGGAAGCCATCCCTGATGAGCTTCTCGTAGTCGCTGGCATTCACATCTCCGGACGCCCCGAGCACCGGCACGGCGGTGGCGTTGCAGCCCTCCAGAGCGTACCCGCCGTCGATCCCGCCGGACGCGTTGTACGGCCCTCCCGCGCGGACAAAAGTGTTGTTCCGGCACACCGTGTCCAGCAGCCCCACTGGGCGCCCCGGCGCCCTGGTGCAGTTGTAGAAGACGAGGTTCTGGTTGAGGGGGCTGATGGAGAACGGGTCCCCGACTTTGGTGGCCGTGTCGGCCGTGGGGACATGGCAGCCTTGGGGGCTGGACCTACCGTCGAAGTCTTGGAGCTTGTGGGCGTCGGAGACGAGCAGGGAGCCGTTGTGGACGAAGATGTGGAGGATCCGCAGCCCGTAGTCGGGCTCGTAGTACCCGAGGTAGGGGACGTGGTCCTTGCAGTGGACCTGGAACCCCATCTGGGCGCACCGGTTCTCCTCAGAGCCATGGACGACCCCGAACGGGCGCGATACGGTCACGCTGCCGCATCGTTCCGGCTCGGAGGCCGCCGCGGCGAGCATCGGCGCCGGGATGATCGCGGAGACGGCGACGGCGACGGCCAAGAGGAGGAGGCAAGGCCCGGGCCATGGGAACATACGAAAGAGAAGATTCCGACCGAAGTCTCTGCTGATGAAGAGGAGGACGGAGGAGATTTTTGGTAGTACTATGAACTGCGATATTCATGGTACGAGCGAGGGGATATGTGATATGAGGATGGAGTCAGTGAGTGACGAGTCCTTTTCTTCCTGGCAAAGTGTGAGTGGTGTGCCGGAAAGTTTGACTGCAAGGCAACCAGCGTCCACACACGCACGAGAACTCCACCATCCCCGGTCGTGGTCGAGCAGCGATGCGACCGGACCGGCCAGGATCGATGATGCATGCCGATCCGGTGCCGGCTAGTGCAAGCTCTAGGCTGGATATGCTGGATATGTATTTGGGCTTGTGTGAGGACTACTGGTAAGTGGTAACACTAGTCGTGCACACGTGAACGGTAAGCACTGGCTAGCTAGCAAACCTCCAGGCTGGTCAGACGACAACACCACCTACTGAGTACCTAGTGAGTGCTTTTTTTATTAACAGTAAATTAAATGTAACAATATACCTAGTGACACCGAATGGCAATTAAAAGTGATGCTGTGCTCAGACGTTGTCCACAAAGGGGGTTCCAAGCGCGTGGTCGTTAGTAGTCGTTACAGCCTGGTAAGTACTCACCATGTTCTAACTACTCCTGGAGTATATAAACAAACAATCGGTAGCAACCATGCATTTTCGGGCCCGACCTTAGAGTTGTTTAGTGCAGGCCGAGTTCATGGTTCAGTGTTCAAATTAGGCTGATCGAGTCGTCGGCCGTACGTACGGTAGGCTGGGTGTAGTATATTGCCTTTCCTTTCCACTTGTGACTTGTGTTCATGAGCATCTGCTACTAATATAAACTGGTGCTACCCACTTGGAGTAGTTTAGTTTACGGGCCACATCAAACCGCGGAAGCTTCGTGCAAGTAGTATTACTAGCGTAGACGTGTAGTGTAGTAGTTGCCGGCCAGACAACTCCTTGTTTACAGAAAAGAGGATCACAAAGCACCCGGGCTCTGAACTATCTATCTATCTATCTGGTTACATGGGCAGACAGGCACACACGGATACTGCATATATCACACACGTAAAAAGGTAACCGGGTTTTTGTTAGTGAAAACCGCGCGTCTCGTTTCAACATCCAACATCTAGTTACTTGGTCCAAACCGGATACAAAGATAAGACGAGCACTGCCAACCAGTTCAGAAACTAGCACCTAGTAAAACAGAGGCGGGAAGAGTAAATAGCATAAAACTACTACTTTACAGGCTAGGGTTTCAAAAAACTACCGGTTTTTAAATGGGTGGTCGGCTGTTTCAAAAAACCCAAATCATCGAGTACTTTAAGATTGATCGTGATTATGACAGGTCGGGCCCGCAACTAAACGAACCGTTTGGTTGACCGTTAACTTACAAGTGAGGCCCACATGTCAGTCCTCACTTTTTTACAAAATAGCCCCTATAAACATTTCTAAAAAGCAATCGCGTCCCTGTCGTTTTCTGAAAAAAGCAATCAGGTCCCTGTAGTGCTCGGGTCCCTATTCACGGCTGCCGCTGTGCCATGCCGTGCTCCATGCCGCCGCCACGCACCTGCAGGGCGGCCTCTCCTGCTCCTTGCCGTAGAGACGGACTTTGCTGTTGCTCCTTTGCAGCAGCCGAGCCGCGATGGCCTCTGTTGTTGCTTCCTGGCCGTCGATTTGGCGCATGCGCCCAGGCCGTCGGACCTGGTCGCATCCGGCGGCGGCGAGCTGGTGGCTTCGGCGGCGGAGGAGAGAGGGAGGCCGGGAGGGGTGTCGCTGGCTCGGGAGATGACAGGGCCGCTGGCCTAGCGCATGCGCCCTGGCTGTCGAACCTGGCAGCAACTAGCTGTCGGCGGCGGCGGCGAGCTGGTGGCCTCCGGCGGCGGAGGAGAGAGGGAGGCCGGGGAGGCGTGTCGCCGGCTTGGGAGAAGACAGTCGATGGCTCGGGAGGGGGTTGTGTGTTGTGCTCGAGCTCGCGAGAGAAAAAGAGTTCAGGGGAGGGAGAGAAAGAAAAGAGAAGAAGGAGACACTGACATGTGGGCTCTATTTGTAAGTTAACAGTCAACGTAACGGTCAAACACACAATTCGTTTAGTTGCGGGCCCGGCCTGTCATAATCATGATCAATCTTAAAGCACTCGACGATTTGAGTTTTTTGAAACAGACGACCTTTTATTTGGTAGTTATCTGAGAAAATCTAAAAATCGGTAGTTTTTTGGAACCCTAGCCTGTAAAGTAGTAGTTTTATTCTATTTACTCGAGGCGGGAATGATCTGCTTTGGAACCCAAAAGGGGTCTACGGCCTTATCCTCAACAACAGAGTGGCGTGATTGATAGCTAAGGTCGGATAAGGGAAATCCAAGCAAAGGCACTGCGGTCTTAGCTCTAGCCAGGAAATGGATTGAGCCATTGAGGACATGATTTGATGGGGGAGCTCCCATGTCAAGAGGAAGCCGCGCGCCGTTGATGGGGGAGTTCCCGCACCCCATCCTCGTCGGCACCAGCTCTCTGCCCCTGAGTGCCAGAGCCGATGCTCCGCCATTCTCCGTGCAGTTGTACATGATGAGATTCAGGTTGCCCGGGCTGATACTAAACGGGTGGCTCAGTTTGGCGGAGGTGTTCCAGATCGGCACGTCACAGCTGTTGGATGGATGCAGCAAGAACAGCTTGCCTCCGTCAGCAACGCGCAGGCTGCGCTCCTCATAAGACATGTCCATGACTGTAAAGCCGACGCCCATAGAGCTCTGTAGAACTGGGGTGTCGTTGAAGCAAGAGACCTCGATATCTGAGGAGCCACATGCTTGTTCCGCCACACTATCCCTGAGCCAGAATGGGTCGGAGACGGTCACATTGCCGCCTCTCTTGGCCGACCTCGAGCAGCCTTCTATTTGCTCCTCGGCCACCACGACGACCGCAAGCATCAGCGGTAGGCACAGAGCCCAGAAGAACCAGCAGCTCGGAGCCATAGGTGTGGAAGATTTGGAAGATTACAGTGAACTACAGGCATGAGAGAATACGTTGGTGTAAGCAGGGACGATATATATATGTGGAGGACGGACGGCAGAGTGGGTGGTTCAAATTTGACTGGAAAACTGGGGCAAACGATCATCGTCCACGAATTGTCCAGTGTCCCCTTTGACTGGTAAGACATGACATGAAAATCGCTGGGTTCCCCTTGAACGGGGTAAGCCATGACCACGACATCCATGTCCCCGTGATGTGACCGGAACCAAGATGCTTAGCCGGATCATTTCGGTTCCGGCATCTGTGTGCTCTAGTCTTCTAGTATCTAGCTAGACTCTAATCTCGCTACAACCTTCACACTTGGCAGGTTACTGGTTACTGTATCCCACAGAAAAGAATGTTCTATAGCATGATCGGTCACTGGGTTGCGTTTTTACAAATTGCGTAAATGTTTTTCTTCCAAGGGAGAATTATTCCAGGTGAAACCTAGAGTTCACACATTTTATTCGGATTATTTTTAAGGAACTAATTTTATTGGGATAGATACACAGTTTAGATTTCGTAAATGTTTTTAAAAATGTTTATAATATTTTAAACTTTGGAGTTCACATACTTATTCGGACGCATTGGAAGACTAGGGCCAAGGACTAAGGTTCAAAACCCAGACTTCCAACCAGACTCCACCATTGCAGGAAATTCGTATTCACTATAGTGCAGTTATGATCAAGTGGCGCGTACGTCCTCCGCGAGCCGGAGGGTGCAGGTGACGCGCTGGCCGGGCCAGCTGCGGCTAACGTTGATCGGCCATGACTAGGGACGACTTCGGGTCTATGGCCTTATCCTCAATAAGTGAGTGCCATGATTGATAGCTCGGTCGGATAAGGGAAATCCAAGCAAAGGCCCTACTCGTCCTAGTTCCGAAAAAGGGTTTCCCCCCGTTTTAGATTATAAAGCAACCAACATCCACAACCAAGCCATCGATACAAACGCACACCACACACACCCAAGACGAGATACAAGGATGTTGGGCACCGACACACACCCTCAACAACTACCACGCCCCCACAGGATGCCCGATGAACCGGGAAGAAGTGTGACGGACCACGCCGGACCGAGGGCTCCAAGACGATGCCTCCAAGAAGGGGTACGACCACGGAATGTCGCCATCGTCCGATCCGAAGATCAAGCTTTCACCCGGAGCTAGAAGGAAGGAGAAGGAGCACCACGACGAAGCCTGCAGGGAGGAACACGACGTCCGCGGACGCCATCATCGTCGGCCAGAGCGCGTACTGGGCAAGTGATGTACTCCGGTGCTTCAACTCTTCCGTCGCCTCCCCGGTCCGACAGCCACCCGCAGCTATGCCACCCGAGCGGCCATAGATGCCCGCCCGCATCCGAGCCGCGCAGTCCGTCCACGACCGCCGCGTCTCCCACCGCCAGGGCCGCCGCCCTGCCACCAGACCACCGCGAGAACTCCCAAAGAACACGACTTTGACCAGATCCACGCCCCCAACCGCCTCCTGGAGTCGCCGGCGGGCGCTGCCTCGAGA